AATGCGTAATCATGCGAACTGCCAACAGCAGCAGCCCTTAACAGATATCCGCAGATATGGGTTGGAAGAGCACAGAAAAAAAAAAAGAAAAGAAAAACGAAGAGAACTGTGCACAAATGAGAAAAGTTTTTGCAGCCAACGCTGCGTATTATTATTATTAGTTTTTCGCCTCTCACACTTGGCCCGAGAAAAGTTTTGTGCCTTGCGCTTATTAGGAGCGTCGCTGCTGCTGCTGCTGCTTCTGCTCCTGCTGCTCCTGCTGCTGCTGCCGTTGTAGTAAGGGTTAGTTTCTCGCTGTCTATTCGAGCTGTTTCATACTTCATTGCTTTTCAATTTGATAAGGCGTTGTCTATAATAATCAGGCTGCCTGCGCAGCCAGAAAATGAGCCGCTCAAAGTTTTGTTGTTGCAGTTGTTGCTGTTGTTGTTATGCTATTGATAAGAAGAGCGAACCGTAAGGCGAACATTTTCACATACGCTTTCCAGCCGACTGACTGATGGATGGACTGACAGAGCAATTGTATGTCAGTTCTCTCTCTCTCTCTCTCTCTCTCTGTCTCTCTCTTGTTATCTTGCTGTCTCTGCTTTTGTTAATTTACTTTGTAATTTATCAACGCTGTTTGTTTGGGAGTGCGCGCATATTTTTATAGAGTTGATTTTTAATCTTTTGCAATCATTTTTGGGCAACAGCGCGGCGTAGGAAATGAATATTTATAAGTATGATGAATGAGGCGAGTCGGTAGGCAGGCAGCAGTCAGCTGATTTACTGATGTATGACACACGAAATACAGACACACACACACTCTCATAACACACACAGGGACAGCTCAGGATAAAGGTAAGGAAATTAATGCGCATTTAGAAACATAAATCTGTGTTGCGCTCGAGGAAATGGCACGGATTTCACAATTTATTTATAAATGAGAGAGCGAGAAAGGGCAGCAGCAAGACAGAGAGAGAGAGAGAGAGACAAAGAGTGTGTCAGTTCTTGGCCACACACAAACACCAGGCATGGCAGACCTGGCTTGAGGTACGCTGCGTATGAGTAATATTAATTTGACTTTAAGTCGCTTGCTCGCTCGTTCGCTGGCTTGGCTCAATTTGCTCGAGCTGTAGCTGTGTGTGTGTGTGTGTGTGTGTGTGTGTGTGTGTGTGTGTATGTATGTGTGCAGTTTTAAAATACGCAACGCAACGTAATGTCAACGTATGCAATTTACGTGACATCATTACGTGTTAGACAAATACAAATTACGCGTAAAAGCGAGAGACGAAGACGAAGCTGGCGACAATATGAGTTTGATAATGATGAAACATGGATGTGTGTGTGTGTGTGTGAAAGAAAGAGAATATCAAGATAAATAACTAAACGTGTGCATTCGTGTGTGTGTGTGTTTGTGTATGTGTGTGCTGAAGCAAATGAAATGAAAGTCATCAGACTCTAGATATGGCACAGAGAGAAAATTGCGTATGCGACACAGACAAAAGGCGACAAAGGACAATGTGCAACAATTTCGTTTCATTTAGAATGTGGAGAACGGGAACTGGTCAACATTCGTTGGAAATTTGATGAAATTCCAGCTCGTTTTTCTGCTTGATTTAATTTTTGCAAATAAACAAATCAAAAGAAGTGGAGGAAGAGGAAGAAGAGCGACAGCAGAGGAGCAGAGGATGCGAAATTTGTTGTGGCTGCGAATGCAAATGTCAGCGGCAAAGTTGCACTTGACTTCTGAGCTGAGCCTTCTCAAGGAAGCAATTAAACTTGTCCCTGTATAATTGCATTTGGCCTAGGCTTTTTGGCCCAAACAAAAGCCAAAGTCAAAAGTCGGCTGCTGCCGTTGAGTTGCCAAGTGCGCTGCTGAGCTGATAGCGGCCAAAAAGTTGAGCGCTTTAATTTCTTCGAAATTTCTTGGCCAAAAAGTAGCGGCAGCATCAGCAAAGGCAGTAGACAAAGCAAAGCAACAAACAAAAATGTCGACTTGATTGCGTTGCTGATGGGCCGATGGGTTGCCAGCAACGAGGCAACGAGGCATCGCAGCAGCCAGCGAGCCACACAATTGTGCGGACAGATTGCCGACGAGTTGCGACTGCTGCAGCTTGAAGTTTGAATCCCCAGCGGATTAGAAAAGTTTAAATTGTTGCCGCCAAGCGCTCGCAAAGCTCAACATACACAGAGCTCTGTGAGCTGTGCGCTGAGCGCTGAGCGTTGAGCGCTGAAAAGCTAAAGTAAAATCGAAGCAACTGGCAAATGAACGTCGAATGAATGAAGGGAGCAACGTAACGATTAGTGCTTTCATGTCCTTTGGCAAAGTTTAAAGGTCATCCGTTTGTACGGCTGTTGGCATCCTGCGTCTCTCTCTCTCTCTCTGCTAGCTCTGCCTTTGCTGCCCTGGCTCGACTCGCCTTCTGCTGATTTGACACATCAACTTTGTCAAGTTTTTGCCACAGCGACAGTCGACGGTCGACGGTCGACTCTTATGAGCAATGGCTCTGCATTTCCTTTCTCCCTCTCGCACTCTGTCCCTTGCTCTTCGTGCTGGTGTGTGTGTGTGTGTGCAGAAGCAATTTGTGCAATGGACATTTTTGGGCGCTGCGTTGCTTTGATAAGCGTTGCCAGCTTGAAAATGTCTTAAAAGATTGCGCGCAGTGCACTGACTTTTTGCGGCTGCCACCTGCCTCTGGGGCATCCTCGATTCGAGAGCAGGCTCTTTTGCGACAGCGAACGTAAACTGGAGCTTACGTAATGGGTAACGTAACGTGGGCATGGTAATAAATCTCATGGGGGCATGGTAATAAAATGGTTACAAACGTTTTCTTATGCAACGATATTGCATAAACTTTTTACGTAATTGCTTGCGTCACTTCTTACGTAGTTCCCACTGTTATGTAATTCTTTACGTTGTTTCTTACGTTATAGTTTACGTCATTCCTTGTGCCATAATATTAATTTAATATTCAATTAATTTATTTAATATTTAATATTTATAACTTCATAAGTACTGATTTTATATATTACGTAATTACGTAATTTCTTGCCTACAACATTGTTTACGTAATTCATTACGTCGTTGCAAACGTTGTTGTTTACGTCATTCTTCAGTCATTCACTTCAGAGCAGTATTGCGTATAATATGCTCGTATTATTATGAATATAATTATATGATATACTCGTATATAAGTATTCTGGAGTATTACCTACGTAATTGCTTACGTTATGTCTTGCGTAGTTGCCATTATTAACGTAATTCTTAAATTGTTTACGTAATTGCTTACGTAGTTGCTTACGTTATTGTTCACGCCATTCTTCACTTACACAACATATTGTGTATTATATACTCGTATTATATATACTATTGTATAATGTACTTATAATATAGGATAAAAATATACTTGTATGTAAGTTCTGGCGTATTTCCTACGTAATTGCTTACGTAATATCTTACGTCATTTCTTACGTCATTTCTTACGTCACTTCTAACGTCATATTTTACGCGGCTACATTTTCAGCTCCCGTAGGACCGATTTATATATTTCGTATATTATTTATGTATAGCCATTGTATAATATTCTTATAATATAGGATAATATACTCCTATGTAAGTTCTGGCGTATTTCCTACGTAATTGCTTACGTAATATCTTACATCATTGCTCACGTCACTTCTTACGTCATATTTTACGCGGCTACATTTTATATATTTCGTATATTATTTATGTATAACCATTGTATAATATTCTTATAATATAGGATAATATACTCCTATGTAAGTTCTGGCGTATTTTCTACATAATTGCTTACGTAATATCTTACGTCATTTCTTACGTCACTTCTTACGTCATATCTTACGCGGTTACATTTTCAGCTCCCATAGGACCGATTTTTAGGTACTTTAATCAGATTTATTGCTGGCTTTTGTGCTGCTATCTACACTATTCGTAACTACTGAACAAGTTTATGGCTGAAAGCGTTGTTTACGGTATATATAGGTAGATCTCCAGACCTATGCTTCCTTCTATTGCCTTAAGTAAATCTCATCAAATTGAACGAGTATTTTCTCGTCCTCCCTTAAGTAGAGTTTTCTGTTTTTAACAGTAAATTGACATTCTTTTAAAAAAGCATTTTGCTGGCTCATGCATAATGAGCTTGTCAATAAGTTTATCAATGCAAGAACTACTCGAGAAATGACCCAAAAAGAAAAAATCAAGTGCTGTGTAAATTATGCAAATCTTTGCCCATTTTTTTTTTCTCCCGTCGCTCTGTATATCAAAAGGTTGCAAGGGGCTGGGCACTTCGGAGGTGTGGAGTGAGGGGCGCAGTTTGCTGGGCTGTCAGAAACAAGCGTGAAACATGACAACAGCGGGGCAGCCCAGTAAAAACAATATGGCGCCCTGACCAGAGTCGGAGTCAGAGGTGGAGTCGGAGCGGGGCGCCCTTGTCCGGCAGCCATTGCCTGCCTTTGACAGTTCTACGTTGTTTTGCTATAACTTTTTTTTCTGTTCTCCTCGAATCACCCCACACACCGATCTCTAAACCAGTGCTGTATATTCTTTTCGAGGTGGTCTTTTTATTATTTTTGTTGTTGTTGTTGTTTTTTTGTTAAATGTCAAATTTTTGCAGACAGTTTTGACAGTTTATCGAAGCGCAAACGTAATTTCAGCTGACGTGTGTTGTAGGTGTTGAAAATAAGAAAGAAAGAACAAGAGATTTCAGTTTTGGGTTCGAGCCCGAATGCCACACACACACACACTAGGTGTGAATAAAAAGTTTCGTTGACGCTGCACTTTGGCCAAGCCAAGAAACTTAACTTACATAAGGAGCGACGGGTCAAGTTCTGGGTAGCTCTAAATGTGTTTGGCAGTAAAGTAATTATATTTCTGTGGCACCTATGGCGACTTGATTGCTGAGCGGCAAATTGAATTGCCAAATGGCAAAATAGAATTATGTATAAATGTATGTATGTATGTATGTATAGTATAGTATACAAGTTTGTTTTTAGTTACTTACCGCTGCGACTTTCATTTTCAGCTGGCTTCAGCTGTAAAGCACGGTTCATCTGCAAGAGACAGAGCAAAATGAAATGTGATGAAAAGTTTGCGCTAACGAGTTGCACTTCAGATAAAGCTTGCGCAATTGCTACTGACATACGCTTATTATTATGTTCGAGCAGTTTTAAAAGCAAGTCAACAGAAAATCCATACCCAAATTGAATTTGGCCATTTCGATGATGTAGCACTCTTCATAAACACCTACAAACAGCAGCATTTCAAGCATTTAAATGCCACTCAATATGCAAGCCCATCTTTGGCTCACTCTCTCTCTCTCATTTACTCTTTCGTTCTCTCTTTCTCTCGCTCTCTCACCATGGTAGTCTCTGCACATTTGCGCTCATTGCCTTTTACCCACGACTGGGCAGCCACATCCTGTGCCGCTTCATGCATCATTAAAGCTTAAATCTCACCCAGGCGACCCATGTCGACTGGCGGGCAACACTTAACGCCCATCCACAGTCCACAGCCATATCCTCCGACCCCGAACCGCTAGCAACCCCAAAGGTTGCCACTGACTCTGTAGCTCTGCAGCTCTACAGCACTACAGCTCGGCTACGTGTTGTGGTCACCTTTTGGGTTTATGGCAAATGAGTTATTTGGATGGTAGCCATACGAAAAATGCCATTAAAAGACGTTGAAATGAAATGCATTAAAATAAAACTTAATTGAAGGCTTTATGCCAAGCAGAGCCGAGCAAATCAATAAACCCGGACCGAAATTCGCATTTGATGATTGCTTTTTATATGAAACCAGGTGTCATTTTGTTTCGCCCCGGCCCGGTCCGATACGGCCTTAGATTGGCTCATCAGCGCTGGAGCTGCCAGTGGCCATGTTCGTGTCATTAGTACGATGAGGGACGACAGCTTGGCCAGGTTGGCCGGCTCCGGCCTGCTGCCTGTCGCATGCATATTTTATAATCAGCCATTAGTTTGCGGCAATTGAAAATGATTGAAGCTTTTAACTGCAAAATTCAATTGCTTTATAGAGAGTCTCCGCAACCTGGCCTCACCTGGCCACGCTTGGACGTCATGTCGTAAAATATTTAATGCCCTGGTTGGCGCATAGCGTTGCGCCTGAATTGTTATTGCTTGTTACCCGAAATTTTCGGGCCCGTTGGCCGGGTCTAGTAACTCTTTTTTAGTTGCTGCTAGTTGCTATAATACGGCTGCCGTGGCGCACGATCCATTAGGCGGGCGAGTAATTAAAATTGCGATTTATGCATGCGCATGAACAAGACCCCAATTTGGGCGCCCGCTTGTTTGTAATTCAATTATGTTAATGATTGGACAACATTTACCGTATTTACATTAATGCATAATGAATGAACGCAAAGGTTCGCATTGACTCCACTGGACACACACACACACACACACACTCTCTCTCTCTCTCTTTCACTCTGCTCTCGTGCCTAAATGCATCGTCAGGCTGCATATTTTTTTTTTTTTTTTTTTTTTTTTGATTGTAAAACTCGAGCTGTTGCTAAACAGTCAATGAGTGGGCTGGCTGATGGCAATTAAGTGCATTTCTCTGTCTGACCAAAGGCATGCCAGCCAGTCAGCCACGCCTGCCACGCCTCGTTGCCCACAGGCGCGCCACAATTGGCGTCGAGCATAAATTCGCTTTTGCCTTTTACTCAAAGCTCAGCTGGATAAATTAAGTGGTCGATGAACTGAAGCCTTGTTGATTTTGTATACAGCGACGCCAATGCCACCATGTTGTTGACAGTGACAGCATGCAGGACGACGATTGTTGTTCTCGTAGTTGTTGTTGTTGCTGTTGTTGCGACTAGGAGTGGGTCTGGCGATGACGCCGCAAAATTTAAACCAATGTTTAACCAAAAATGTTCATTTAGTCGCACGTACGTTGGCTACGTTGCTGCGGTCTGGCAGCTGGAGGTTTTTTGTTTTTTTTTTTTTCTGGCTAGCGGGGCCGGCGTCTGTGTGGCTGGTAAATGATTGATGTGGCCGGGGTAATAAATTGGAAAACGTTTTCCAGCTCAAGCAGCAGTATCTTGGCTCAACTCTGAGCTGCATTGCATTGCAAGTTGCTGACTGCCTGCTCCTGCTGCTGCTCCTGCTGCCTGCTCCTGCTGCCTGCTCCTGCTGCTGGCTGCTGTTGCTTTTGAATGCTTTATCAACGTCGACACCCGCAGCTGCTACGCACACAGCATGCAAAAACAACACTGAAATGCTCACATATCGAACCAGGCACACACACACACAGACACACACACTCTCACACGCACATGAGGGGTTCGAAGAGTCTATGGCATAATTGTCTGGCTTCTGTGTGCAGTTTTTCCTGCTGCATTTTTGATTGCAATCGTTGGTTAATGAACTCAATACACTCTGTCTCCCTCTCCACGCCCCCGCCAGCTCTCTGTGGGCTCTATTTGACCTCAATTTGATGTGGCTCTATGAACTGTAACAGTTTGCTTTAAGCCACAGCCTTTGCAAGCCAAAACAATTTGTTTGCTGGCTTTAAGTCAGCTCGTACTCATCAAGCATCGCTATCCCCCGCCCACCCCCCTCTCCTGCTTGTTTAGTGTTACTTAAGTGTAACAACATTGCTAAGGCATCTGAGTTGTTCTCAGCCTCTGTGGTTGCTTCATCTGCGGACGTTTGTTCGGTTTTTGGGCTGCAGGCTTTGCGTTCGCTCAGCACAAAGGCCCTGCTAATTATGGGTAGCAAAAAGGTTTCCCACTGTGTGTCAGTGTGTGTGTGTGTATTTGTGTGTATGTGTGGAAATTGGGAGCGTAATTAGCGCACATAATTTGAAATTTAAATGTAGCCAAAAATGCGCTGCGAACCCACATCTTTTGGGAAGCCTTTGAGAGTCAAAATGTTAATTAAATCTTTTGCTGGCGAGCCAAAAACAAAATAAAAAAGAAGAAGAACGAAATACAGCAACAAAAATTTCGTTTTCTTTTTTTTTTTTTTTTTTTTTTGCCTTAGCACACAATTAGCTTTATGACAAAGTGTTGAGCCGTTGACAAAGAGCGAGAGCAACTGGGACTGGGCTGTAGTCGGCGCCAGTGGGAACGTAAAACCGCAAATTTTAGCGCCTCGCCAAGTCGTGCATGATATGGCGGACTAGTCCAGGCGACGCCGCCTACGCGTATGCAATGCCAAAAACTGCCAAGTGCCAAGTGCCAACTGGCAAGTGCCAAACTGCCAAGCCAACAACAGCAACCGCTAGGGTCGCCTAGTCCATGTCTATATCTGTTTGTGTGTTTGTGTATGGGTGAGTGCATGAGCCCCACATAAACTGCGTTAGTTTATGATGACCCAGCGCCAAAGTAGGAGTTGCCCAGTCAAGCTATAAGTGCCTACATCTGCATCCCTTGCTGCAATTAGAATGCGGCGCCGTCTATTGAACCAGCCAAGTCACAACTGCCCATGCTCTTACTCTGTTTGTATCTCTCTCCATCTCTCTCTCTCTGTCTCTCACTGTCTCTGGTCAGTTGCGCTTTGTTGTTTTTATGCATTCGCCAACTCAACTACATAAAATGGAACAACGAAAATGCAATTAAAACTACGTTTTATGGCTTTGTTATGGCAGCAGCAGCAACGTCTAATACAGAGAGTGACTGTGTGCGAGGGAGAGGGAGAGAGAGAGAGAGAAAGAGAGAGAGAATCCGCCACATGAAAAGCGATTTTTATTATGCTTTCGACAAGCATGATGATGATGATGATGCTGCTGCTGCTGTTGGCAATGATCATTATCGCTGGTCTCGAATTGAGTGCGCTGCAAGTTTCTGTTGATAGAACAGTAATACTCCTCTAAGCAATGTTTGCTTATTGAAAACGCAGCTTGAGCTTCACTTTCTTTATATCGAAATTGTATAGTATATGGATTTAGTTCTTTCGAAAAATTTATCAAAAATCATCAAAGTTTTACGCAAAAGTTTTTTGTGTGCAGCTGCTGATAGAGAGTTGCGAGTTGAGAGTTGAAATTTTGTCACTGGCAAAGCCAGCAGCAGCGGCAGGAGGACTAGCGGCAGCAGGAGCAGCGACATGTTGTTGTGGAGCTGGCAGCTAAAAGCAAAGACAATGTTGCGCCTCGAGCGTGCAACAGCAAAACAAACTAACGAGCTAGCAAGCAAAACAATAGCACGAGCCCCGCCATCCATCTCACCTACGCTTAGAGCACGCTTTACTGCTGCGCCTGGCTCTGTGTGAGTGTGTGTGTGTGTGTGTGTGTGTGTGTGTGTGTGTGTGTGTGTGTGTGTGTGTGTGTGTGTGTGTGTGTGTGTGTGTCTTCTCGTAACAACCTGCCATAACTGTAGCTTAATCAAAAGTTTTTTGCACTGCGCTGTAGGGCAACGGCGACTATCAACCGCAACTAACACACCAACACACACACACACACACACTCACATACACACACTATATCATCCACATCCACATCCTTGGCATCCTTTTGATACTAATCAGTGGTGCTTCTCATGCGAGGCTGCTTTTTATGTTCATTCTCACCCATGTTGCACACGTTTGTTGTGGCTGCACTCTCTCTCTCTCTCCCTCTCTCTCTCTCCTTCTATCTCTTTTTCTCTTTAGTTTTTCTCTATATCTCTGATATATGATATATAGCAGCTGTATATAATGGTCGCCATGCTCGTGTTTGCAATTAGCAAGTGGCAATTAAAGTTGGTCTGGCTGACCAAAGATACATTGAGCCATTGGCATTGAGCGCGGCATAACTGCAATCTTTATTAATGCCATATTGTATGAGCAGACAATTGCTTGACCATTATACAGAGCGCCAGACAATAGAAGTCACCACTAGATAACAAATATTTTGTTCGATTTTTAAATTGGATTTCAACAGAAAAAAAAATGATTAAAGTTTGTTTACTTTAAAGCAAAAATCCAATAAAAATATAGAGTATATAGAAACAGCCGAATTGATGAAAACTGAAGTGAGAATGAGCACTTAATATTGGATAATAAAATATATACTATACAAAATAATTTGATTTACAATCAAAGTAAAAATGTTAATT